GTCAACTGTTTAAAAGTTCGAGTCGGGTCGGGTTGAACCACTGACCCGACCCGACCCGACTCGTTCGGAGCTCTAATCCTCATCATATTGATTGCTCAGATTGCCTTTTAAATCATCAAAAAACTGGAATATTTCTTGACGTTCATCACAAGCATGAGTATGTGAAGCATTGCATTCACCAAATGCATATAGCAAGCAATGATTTATACACAAATTATGATAAGTTATTCCATGATCAGTTACTATTAAATGTTCTTCATACTCTTTTTTTTAAATAACGTTGTAAGGATTGACATCTTTGGAAAAGGTATTCTTTAAATAAAATTATATTCAGTATTAATTATATGTCAAAAATTCTATATATAATTATTATTGTTAATTAAATATACCTGTAATTCCATATTGTTTATTTTTCTTATTAGATTCAAAATATCTTCAAATGTTTCATATCCATATGTACTACATGTCGAGCATAATCCTCCAAGATCTTCACAATAAACATATTGATTGCTAATTAATTTAGCATAGAAGGTTGTACGCTTGACACCATTTGGAAAAGAATACTTGAATTTTTCCCATAAAGCATTTTTTGTATTTTGAAGATAAACCACCAGTTGACCTGTTTTAGCATCAGTTTTATAAGAACTCATTATAACATGAGCTTTATCTTGAAAAAAGGTAATGAATTGTTCTTCTTGCTCAGAAGTAATTTTTTTGATCTTTCTAACAGGTTTTTCTATTACTTCACAACCAGGACCATTAATTTGTGCATATTTTTTTGCCTCAATAATTGTACCCTCTGCTACCTATTTTAATCAAAGGCAAATATCAATTAATATTTTGCAGATTCTTTTTTATATTCTGATACTTACTTTTAATTTATCCATCAAAATTTTGTAAGAAAATTTTTCTGCTATTATAGAAAGGATCCTTTTCTTCCCATTATAATCTTTTTTATTGGCTTGTAATGATTGATTAAAACAATCCCAAAAAATTTCTCCATCATTAGTATCTTGTTTAGGATTATGTTGTTTAGGGAATGAATTCAAAAAGCCTGATTCATATAAAAAATTCAAATTACTCTGATCATTTGTTGGATCACTAGATTGTGTCCAAAATTCACGCTATTGATTTAATGCATAAATAATGGTATAATAAATATTTTTGAAATCAAATAAAATAATAAATTTTATGTAACTTACTGATGATATATCTTTAGAAAAAGGTGTTATATTAGTACATCCAGCATTAGATAACATTACTCGCCATAAGAAATGTGAGATTCTCAAATATTTTAAAAGTTGTAATATTCGTTATATTTGGGGCATGCTGCAACAAAACCAGACAAAGTGAACATTGGTATTACCAAATATTTCAGGGTCAAAATTTAGTAACGTGATTATTAAAATCTTCCTCTTAATATTAAGTGATATATAGAATTACCTCTATATAAAAATAGTTAATATGAAGTTAATTTACATCAGATCTACTATGGAACCCAAG